ATTATATAAAAAAAACATTTACGCTTCATAACATCTAGTTTTAGAACGCCACACAATCATTATAATATACTTTATATATTACTATATAGTATATACCCTTTATGAGCCCCGAACACAATGTTTGAATATGCTAAATTAACTGAGAGTTTACATCCAGTCGTCCTGGTGTTGGGGTATGAATCGTGGGTCTATATGCTAAAGGTCTTGAGTTCGATTCCCAGCATAGACATGCACTGGATTTTTTCTACATAAATTTTGATAGTCAGTCTTTTCCGTGTATATTTCTAAGTTTTATTGTGGATTTGACATTCCCACCAAAATGTTACAGAACAAAGTCAAGCATGCAGAACAAAGAAACGCAAGCTAGTTTGATCTGGTTTGGGTGATCCGGCTCAGATCACCCTTGGTAGAACAAAGGAGCTGGGATGAGCTACGAATGAATGGCAATATGTCGACTTAGTATATGTTAGAGAATGATAATCCCTTTCTTCATGAAGAACGAGCGTTAGCGAGTACTTATCATGAAGTAAGGGATTATTTATAGGTTAGATAATACTTGGTCATATTTTATGAATATTTAAAGCCCGAGGCGTAGCCGAGGGTTTTAAATTGGTCAGACAAAAGTATTGTCTGGCCAATTTAGAACATATTCACACCTTCGAGTGACATAACAAAAGTAGCCTCTCATTGTAATAATCAAGTTTTGATATGAGCTCACTTTAAGTGGTAACATGTTTAGTAAAAAATTTATGTAAATCATTCATTGGTCATTTCAACAGATGGAATGAAAGAGCAATGAGATAGTTTTGTGATAACAAAAAGGGTAAATTATTCAAAAATTGAGATTTCTTCTGCTTCAGGTACAATTTGATCTTAGATATCTAAAATTCCTTCATTTTAAAAAGCACAAAATGTTATAGAAATCAGATTTTCTAAAATTGTATAATTTTTAATAAGGACAAAACTTCATCAACAAATTTTAATTTACAATCGTTTCAACATCAGATGCTTGCTTTTTTTATTGATGAGTGTATTGTTTTTTTTTTTCAAAAGTTCCTAACATTTTTAAATCAACAGTCATTGTTTCAGACAAACAACAGTACTCATGTTTGTTTTGGGGCTCTTTTCCCTTAGACATTGCCTTGGGGGTGGGGGGGTGGGGGGGGGGGTGGGGGGGGGGGAGGAGTGGTTGTACACTTCTTTAGTGCTATTTTTAAGAGTTCACTTTCATAATTAATCTACAATGAAAAGTCATTCATGCGTAGCATTTTATAGTGCATGGAAAGCCAAGTACTATGAAAAATAGAAGGGAAAATACTGATTTTCCATTGGACGAGAATGGGTGAGTATGTACTAACATTCTCTTACAAACTTAGAATATTGTAAAGTGCTCAAGGCTCAAATGATCTCTAAATTGGTTGTATTTAATAATTAGTTTCATTGTCAGTGCAATGTTTATAATTAATGCATGACTTCCTTTTTAGGCATTTCATTTATGGATTAGTTTTAGTGATGTAAGGACTTTCTTATTATTTGGGAAATAATTTTAAAAAATGCGTTATACATATTAGGTAACACAACAGAACAAAGGAAATGTTTTGGTCCGGCTTTTTACATCAAATACTATTTCATTATGTCAGGGAAATGTTCAAATAAAATGCCTTTAAAAGTTTTTAATATGTTCAAGACTTAAATTAAATTCCTGTTTTTTTTTTTTTTATTCTATCGAAATATTGGAAATACCTATTCTTCCCAACCGCTGATTCAGTGATCAAAGTTTTGGAAAGCTAAAGATTAAGGTATTTTTTTTTATTTTAAAGCTTTTTTTTTTTTTTGTTTTTTTTTGCAAATGCTTTGATATTGTTTAATTATTTAGTAATTTGAAGTTATTAATATATTCATAATAATATTCACGGTACCAATTTTACTGCACAGTAAACTTTAACTTATTTTGAGTTTTTTGTTTGTTTCACAATTCAACTTTTTGTCAGTTTCAATCACTGTGTGATAAATCCTTTCAATCTGATAAATGTGCTTCGGAGCAGTTGTAACTCATTTATAGAAACTCTTTGTTTTGAACTGTAAATAGACCCACACAATAGGATAATCCCTTACTAAGAATATGATTTACATTGAATTTCATTCTTCCCAATTAAGAGGCATCAAATCCTACAATTTCATTGGTCGAGAGCACTTTGCTATATTCTAAGGAAGATAACTTCCAAAAATATCTTAATGAACTGTTAAGCAAGAAGTCAACTGTTTTACTAACTGACGAAAAAGTCGACAGGATAAAGAGTCTATTAATTGACACTAGAGAAGGACAGAAAACAGATACACCAAGATTTAGACAATATGTGAAAGACAAAGTGTTTCAGCTTGTAACTTGTGCCGTTTTGGGTTTGGAGAACGAGATGTGGGTTCCAACGAAAGAGGTAAGAACTCAGCTTTGCTTACTTTTGAAACTTTATATAATTAGCATTAGTAGTGCAACATTTAGAATTTTGTTTCCTATACGTGTTCTTATTTTTACTTGCTGTCGTCGCATCTTACATGTATATAATTTATAATAGTTGTACAAAGAACAGCTGTATATCCTACTCTTATGATTTTGGTTATGTTCTTAGAAAAATAAGAATGTGTGATTTGATTGCCAATGAGACAACTCTCCACTAGAGACCAAATCACGTAGAAGTTAGCCACTATAGGCCTTCAACATTGTTTATTTTATTCATCCTGCATTTCTTGCTAGCTTATTTTTTATACCTTTCTACAATATTTTCTCAGCAATGTGAGAGACCAGGCCTGCTTGCACCCTGGCGTTGTGTAGTATACTTTCTATGGCGTCCAGAGAAGCCTTTGTAAGGACTTTATTAAAGGATGCGTAAAATGCGCATGTAAGAAACCTTAAAATAACATAGCACCATTAAAACCGATTTCATCCAAACATTTTATGCATAGGGGTCAGTTGGATTTAGTTGACAAGCGTGCAGACCCTGACGTCCATTTTGCTGGATTGACATAATGTTGACCACTTTTCCAATTTTTTTGGCCCCAGGAACGTGAATCTGCCATTGAAGTCGCACATAATCTAAAGGAACATGTATTTTCTGGCATCGGCCTTCCGTTCATTTTACATCAAGACAATGGTCGTGAATTTTGCAATGATATTATAAGAGAAACAATTAAGATTAGGCCCGGTGGAAATGTCAAGATTATAACTGGTAGGCCTAGACATCTCCGTACTCAAGGTCTTGTAGAGACGAACAGTGTCTCACATGAGGAGAACGACTTCCAGGCGGACATTGACGCACAGACGGACATAGACTCACAAACGGACAATGACTCCCAGACGGACAATGATTCCCAGACGGACAATGATTCTCAGATCGACATTGACTCGCAGCCGGACAAAGAATCACAGACGGACAATAAATCGCAGACTGACATTGACTCACAGACAGACATCGACTCACAGACGGACAATGAATCACAGACGGACAATGACTCACAGACGTATAATGATTCTCAGACGTATAATGATTCTCAAATTGTTGCTTCACCGACAGATAATGACATAGACTCTAAAGTCCTAGAAGAAGTGCATTCTGTAGCAAAACGTAGGCGGATTGATTTGGAGACAGATATCGATTGCATAATCTTGAATGATCTTTTGACAGAAGAAACTGACACAGTATCTGAATCGTTGTCGTTGACAGATGTCGACTCAACACATGATAAAATAAAGCAACTAGTGGAGAAAAATTACAAACATTCTGTTCAAAACACTATGCGTAAATACAATAAGAAAATGTCAAAATCAAATGCACATATTGTAAAAGGAAGCTTTGCTACCTTACGTATACCAGTAGTTGACAGGGCGTCTGGTGATCTACCACGTTTATTGTGTTAAGTATTTGAAGACCATCGTTTATTTAAGTTGTCTTGTGGATATGGTGTACTGCAGTCGTGTTACGATATTGGAGACTTAGAGCTAAAAAATACCGTAGACACATCGGAATGGCCCAAGACCTCAGTATCACTGCACGCAGCTGCTAATAAGGCTAGCTTTTCACTGGCAGGCAAAAGGTGCAACTGAAAAGGATCGTGCACAACCAAGACGTGCAAATGCAGAAAAGCTATGGTACCGTGTGGAAGTAAATGTCATCCTAAGCATGCATGCATGCAAGAATACAATTAGTGATGAAAACTAACTGTGGCATCAATATTGAACGTTTATGTAGCCTTTAAATTATTAATACATGTTCATGTTACCATCATTGTTTTTTTTGTTGGTTAAGTAAAGTTTATTGCATGATTGAAACGTTTCTAATGCATATTTGAAAAATACCTATTTGGTCCTAATACTCATATGGTCTGGCCCGTTAATAACAAAACAAGTATATACACATAAGGTCATGACCATACGCGTATGGTTTAAATACTCATATGGTCCGGAACATATACATACTAGGATGTTGATCATTTTCATTTTAGATAATGATGTACTATGCTTTAGGTAGCACGGTAGTATTTGCATTCTAGAATTTAGGTTGCTCTTTTGTGTACCCTACTTAAGTCAATGTATCTGAACAGTGTGATTGGACAAAAAATACAGTATCAACTGAACATACTTTCCCAAACTGAGGGATGAATCAGGTGTAGAAAAATATGAAATAATTTTACATACAGATGAAAATGAATTTTTGAAAAAAAAATTTTAATTTTGTATTCACTGCACGATAAAAGACCTAAAAGCACTTAGTGGCCTTAGGTTCTTAAAGATAGCAAAAAAAGTAAACGGTCATGATACATATTCAAATTAATTTCTGAATAGTAAAATGAAAGTACTTCAGTTAACTGTGAATGTAGAATTTTTGGCAGTGTTAGAAAGTGGTGAAAATTCTAAAAAAGCTATCATTATCCCTTATGGGCCAGGAAATACTACCGTGCCACCTTTACTGTGACATCTATACCAAAAATATAATATAAAACGTAAAAACAGACTAGAAAATGTAATCCCAATAAAATCTTAAAACAAGTTGAAACTACTTTTTACAGAAACAAGTTAAGCGACGATTACAAGTGCTATCAATAACGGATGTTTAGTCTAATAGTACTCAGCTTCTGTCTCATGTGTTGTTTCTGTCGTAGTTCTCACAGTAATTTTAGCTCCAATTTCCTGCCATCTGCGGAATTGGAAGAATGTATCAACAGCCAGAACAATTAATATCATAAAGCAGAAAACCTAAAACAAAACCAAAAAATTAAACAACAGAAATCCTACTAACTTTTATTTAT